ATCTATCTATCTATCTATCTATCTATCTATCTATCTTTCATCTCAGACAGTTTCACTGTGTAGTCTGACTGTCTTGGAACTCTATGTAGTCCAGGCTGGTCTTGAACTCACAGAAATCCTCCTGCCTCTATTCCTTGTTCAGCATTATCTGTTACTGAAGCTTGGCTACTCATCCCCTCACCCTCTTTGTACCTTCCTCCTATCATACTCTTTGGTCCTGATTATAATACCTGATCTTATTATAATTCAAATTATAAATTTGCCTGTGGAAACACTGTCTACACTGCAGCTGCATGTCAGAGAGGCATTGGCCCTTCAGACCCCTTCCCCAGAGCCATTTATTCTTGTGACTTATTTCTTCCATGGAAACCCTGCAGAGAGTCACCCTTGCCCCAGACTCTCACGGCAGGCGGTCATAATTTAATAGTAGCACTGGGCATAGTTAGCTTGTGTAGATTTGGTCCATGACTGAATCAGAGGAACTAAGCCTTTTAAAAGGCTGATTCCTTCGTTCTCCCATTTGAAATGTAAGCACCCACTTTAATGAATCCTTCCTTCTAGCATGTCCTTTTCACTGACCCCTTTAGATCACATCTGTGAGTGTTCCACATTAACAAGCCCTTCTCCTGTCCAGCCATTTCAACAGCACATGCTTTATGAGGACATAATGGAGGCTCATAGTTTTCTGTGTGCTTATTATCTCCGTCTCCAGAGAACACAGTACTCTAATGTTGGCCTCAGCAACAGGGGATCATCTGAGACTGTGTCATCTGTGTGTATGTCTCTTGAGTATGACAAATAGCTCAGAAAAACGCCTTGAGAAATCTAGATGGAAACCAATGCCCCATGGAAACACATAAATGTTTCATCAGGTTCTGAACAAGACTCTTTCTCATGAATGTTTTAACACCTCAGTAGCTGATTAGAGTCAACTTGTCCTGGGACTGGGAAGCTGAGGGAGGAGGAGGGGACTATAACAGTGAGAGTAGGGGGCATGCTACACTGTCTCTTTTAAGGGCCTAAAATACATTTAAAGAATACCCAAGGGCTCCCCTAATTTACAAGGGTCCTCATTTTCCAAGTGCCATCCCCTCCAGAATAGAGGTAGATCAGCTCCTAGCAGTAATGCCTACTGATGGACACCATACTGCCTGTCACGGAGCCCCTGTCACTTTTCCATACCTCTCTCCGCATGGGGACACAGGAGGATTTTCTATTTCAAGTGAACTACTTGGGACTAAAATGAGGCAGAATCTATAAGCATAATCATAGCAGCTTTATTCAAAATAGCCCTAAACCAGAAACAACCTCAGTGTCCATCATTATGAGCATGAATAAACATAACAGTAATATTCATACAATGGATACCACCTTGAAATAAAAGGTAATGGCCTATTGATACACTCAGCAACAGCGATGAATCTCACAGAGGTAACAGAGCAAAAAGGCTATGCTATGCAAATGCATTTACACGACCTGTGGGAGCCATTAACATCCAAGTAAGAATTGATGGCTTTCTAGATGGTGGGGGTGGCTAGAAAGAGGCATGAGGGAAATTTTGGGGGAGTGAAATTATGTGTATTTTGCTTGGGCCATGTGGTCAAAACTGACCCAACTTTGAGTAGTTGAAGCTCAGAAACACCGTGAAGATAAGGTTCACTAATCTCCAGATCATCATTTACCTATAAATTATTGATTGCCTGGCTTCTAGTATTTTACTTTTTTTTAACTTCCTTTCACACACCAAGAGAGAGAGAAGGCTTTGTGTGTGTCATTAATAACTTAGTTAATTGCTTATCATTTGCTAACTAGGAACATAGCCATAAAACAACAACAATCTCTTGCCCTTATGGGGTTCCCAGTGGAGGATCTGTCCAATTGACAGAGACAAAGATACAGCATCAAAAAGTGACAAATGCCAGGGATGGTCTCACTAAGGTCACAAGGATCAGAGGGAGGTGAGCTCAGAGTGAAAACCACAGAGGATGGTAGGCAACAGATGTGACCTAGTGAGGCCAAGCACATCTGATCACACAGGGCTGTGGTCACCTCTGATGGAGGACTGGGTTTTATGTAAGTGTGAGTTGAAGCTATTGGAGGGTTTTACACGGGGAAATGAATAATCCAACCGATGTCTCTGAGGCAGGAGGATTGGCATTTGGAGGCCAGCCTGGACTATGTAGCAAGACTCTGTTACAATGAATGGATGGATGAATGAATGAATGAATAAAAGAACAGCATCAGTCTGTCTTTCTCCCTATTGTCTTATTTCTTTACCCCATGTGCTATCTTAAATTTGGGGAGAGAAAGAGAAAGAGAAAGAGAAAGAAGAGGAAGAGAAAGAGAAAGAGAGGGAGACAGAGAGCTCCAAAATCAAGAGATCAGTTGTCTGTTATGAAAGATTTACAAGAACAAAATTCATACAACAACTAAAATTTTTTCTCAAAAAATATCTTTCTAATATTTCTTCTTAATCAGGTTCTGATTTAACCTCTGTCCAGGCGTGGATCGCATACACCTGGGTCCCAAATTCAGTGGTTAAGAGCACTGGCTGCTCTTCTACTTACCCGTGTTCCACTTCCAGCACCCACATGGTGGCTGGCAACCACCTGTAACTCCAGTTCCAGGGGGATCTGATGCCCCCTTCTGTTCTCCATGGGCACTGCATGCATGTGGTACACAGACATACATGCAGGCAAAACCACTCACATGCATAAAGTGAAAATAAATAAATTGTTGAAAACAAGATCGTCAAAAGTTTATGAAGAGAAAGACAGATGACTTCTTGGCATATTTTAAATTTCTCATAATAGAATGTTTGTAGAAAAAAGTGAGGGATTTGCATTCATTATCAGCATCCTTTAGCAAATTCATTAGAACCTAAACAGTAATTCTCACTCCTTTCTGTAAAATAAGGGCTCTGTCTGCTTTCTGTTCAACTATCAACTCCAGTTTCTCTGCTCCAGTCAGAATGCATGTCCCTATTTCCTGGCCATTCTTTTCTCTTGCCTCTGCCCCAAATTACTCCCTGAAAACATTCAAGGTCTGAAATAAAACATGCACTCAGTGGGTAAACTGCTTGCTGTGCAAGTGTTTGGATCCACAGAATACATAGAAAGGCAGATGTTGTAGTACAGTCAGGTCTGTGATCCCAGCCCTCTTACCAGGAGGTGAGGTAAGAGGCAGATGGCAGAATTCTTAGATTCTGTCCAACTAGCCTGGTGCAGACAGCTAACAAACTAATACAAGACACCCTGTTTCAAACGAAGTGGAAGCAAGAACCCACACCCGAGGCATCCTCTGACATCATGTGCCTTCACACACACACACACACACACACACACACACACACAGATACACAGGCATACTTACACACACATAGATACACAGTCACACATACACACACACAGACATACACAGACACACAGGCACATACACCCAGACACAGACACACAGAGAAACAGACAGACAGACACACAGGCACATACATACAGACACACAGATTTTTTAAAGGTAAATCTGAGGAGAGGGGGCACTTTTCAGAGGCCTCATTTTCCTCCAATACAACTTTCAAATACCTTTCTGGATAAATAGGGAGCAAGTGGACTATAGGAGCCCTCAAGGAACAATGTGTCCAAGGCCTTTCTAGGCGACTCTGTTCCTTGATCATCCTTCTGCTCTTTAGGCTGGAAGCAGCCTCCTTCTGTTTACCCTCCTTGTCTCTGCTGGGGGACCTTTCTGTGTCCCCCTAGACTTGGGCTGCCATTACTCTGCCTCTGACTAAGCCAACTCTAGACTAGGGAACAGAGAGAAGCTAAAAGTTGGAGATGAGAGACAGAGAAAAGGGATATGGCAGATACAGAGGTGGCCCCAAAGGGGAATTAGACAGGCACAGTGGGACCAGAGAGCCCCTCCACTCTTTCCGAGAGTCCCAATTCAAGCTAAGTTTGCCAAGGCACTTTATACCTCAGGCTTCAATGGTCTGAAGCCCCCAGACAAGAGGATTCTCCTTCACTCATCCGTATACACCCATTAGTTCCTTTGGCAACAGTTAAAAAACCAAACCAAAACAATCTACAAACTTGGAAGCCTGGCTGATGTTCCAACTGCTGGGGGAATCCAGTTATTGGTGGAGAAAAGCTGTTTTTTCTTCACCGGCCTGGCTGCCTAATTAACACACCAACAAATAAGGTGGGTTTAAGCTCCCACCAGAAACCCTTTTCTTTTCACCTAAGGATGCACACACTTAGCATCACCCTCTGAATCTTGTGTAAAGAATACAACGGAAAAGTCTATTATAGGGTCAGGACACAATGTACATATTCCTCAAGCATGCACCCAGAAAAACAGCAAATGGGTAAGAGCAGTCACGCCATTCTCCCCTTCCGATTTTTACTCTTGAAATGTTAACAGTTTACAGGACCGCCAAGAAAGTAGCACGTGGTGCTTAGCTTTCTAAGTGCTGCCCAGATCCAAGGATGCTCAGGCGCCTGGGGCACTCCTCTGGTGCCCAGGAACAAAGCCATCGCACAGACCTGACTCGGTGTGGTAAAACTTTCTTCTCAGACTTCAGAGCCAGGGTGGGAAACATCAGCTCACCACCCTGCCCTCGGGGTGAGCTTACACCTGCAGGGTAGATTTGGAGTCACGCTTGGAAATCTCCAGACTGTGGGAATTCGTTTTGAGATCGCTTTTTTTCAGCAGTTTGCCGCTTATTCAACAAAACAGAGAAGTCACACTCTGTTCACACCCAGTTACAGCACTCTTTCCTCTCTTTTCCCCTCCCAAACTGCAAGGTCGCATGTTCTCCCCTACTTTTTTTTTTTTCTCCTTAAATCATTCCTGAATACCCTGCCCAGGTTTTGAAGAGACAGGAGTGCCCCTGCCCTCTCCACTTCTTACTGTAGATTTCGGGTGTCCCGTGTTTTGTGGACACACGGCATCCACAGGGAACTCCTAGAAAATCTCGCGTGTGGGGTCCTCAAGGGCGCACTGCTCACCTCGCGGGGTCCCCGGCCACTGAGAAGCGCCGAGTCCTCGGCTGTGGCTGGAACGCGCGTGGTCTCCAGGTCTCTGGTGAGCTCTCGGGGCTGGAAGGCGGCGGGAGGGACGCGGGCCGCGCCCATCGCCACGCAGACAGCAGGAGCGGCAGCTGTGCGGTGTGCGCGGTGCCCTGCGGGTCGCCTCCTCCCCTGCCGGCCAGCCAGCCCTCCTCTGGCGCCACCCCGCGCCGGGACCCGACCCTGCGTTCTGCTGCAGGCCCGCTCCACTCCCGCGTCCCCTACTCCCGCATTCTCCACTCCTCGGACCTCCACTCCCATCTGCGCGGCTCGAGAGTCCCCTGAGCAGCTCCTCGAAGTGCACTCAAAGAGCTCCGAGGAGAGTTGGCCTGGGGAGTCCTGAGGGGGGAGGATGCTCAGGCCTCCAGGTCCTGTGCTTGCCTCCTGGACTCGTAGGGTCCCCAACTGGTTCCTGTTTGAGACAGAGTTCTCCATTAGTTTTTTCCCTGGCCTGTTGAGTCTCCCCTCCTTCCCCTCTCCTGTCCTCACTCCCCTCTTTTTTCCCCCTCCTCTCTTCTTTGCTTTCATTCTCCCTTTTCATTTCATTTCTGTATTTTTGATTCTTTACATAGAATTTGTTTATTTTAGAATCAGAAAGACAAGAACGTTGCTTATAATAGGAAGGTGCATGTGTAGGACTTCGCTTAAGGAAAGTCCTGAGCATGGGCTCAGGTGGGGAGCGACGTGAGCTGGGCCCTGGGACTCTATTTCGAATTTCATATCATCGTTTCTTTTATTCTAAAATCACAAACCCAAGTGTCCATGCAGAGGACGCAGTGATGGCGCTGAGTGGAGGACTCCCTCAGTCAGGGAGCCACTTCTCAGCTCCCAAACGCCAGTCTTACCACATGCTTTAGGGACAGGAGAGGAGGGGAACCGAGTAGGACTGTAGGGTTCAGATCACATGGTAGGGACGGTTGGGATTGATTTTTTTACACCTTCACCCACCAACCCAAAGGTCCCCCCCCCCAACAGGAAAAAAAAAAGGTGCTGTGTCTGAATCCCAAGGCTGGAGGCAGGGGAAGGGGGACAAAGGCAGGGGACTCTCTGGGGTCTGCTGAACAGCCGGTTCAGTGGGAGTGCCTGCCTCAAAACTAGGGTGGAGGACACCCAAGGAAGACAGCCATCAACTTCTGACCTCCATGTGACGCTCGCCTGCACACACACACACACACACACACACACACACACACACACACACATTTCCGGGACTACCTTTCTCTGCCAATGCTCACTTCAGAGTCCAAAGCTGGATCTTGAGTCTGTGGTCCCACATTAAGAATTCCCCTCTGACCTCCGTGGCCTTTTGCCTTACCTCAGAATCCCCCTAGGTAGCCATCTGCTCTCACTGACCTCCATATTGGACTCCTTCCAGCTTGGTCCCCCTTTCCCAGCCCTCTGTCCCTTTTCCATTAAACCGCCCTACAGCTCCTCAGATACTGGCCGCCTGTTTTCATCTCCCACTGGATCTACCACATTTACTTCAAAAGTGTTTCTGGAGACTCCCTTCTTCTCCGCATTCCCACACTGCTGCCCCTGTGAAGTTTTAATTACCCTGGGCTGAATCATTTTAATAGTTTCCTAACAAGGTTTCTTGCCTCCGGGTCTCCTCACCATCAACACAGACTTAAGAATGTCACTTTCATGACAAAACAAGCAAACCGCCCGCCTGCCCTGTGCCTCCCCTGCAGGGGAACAGTCTAATCCAAATCTTGTCCACTTGATCAGCTGCACGTCTCTGGGTACACCCTGGGCTGTCAATCCATCAGTTTCTTTCCCTCCCTTCCCTCACTCACATCTTTCTTTACCTGTTGAATTGCCCCCAACCCTTCAACATCTGAATCAAATGTCCTTCTACACTTCCAGATCTTAGCATTCTGTCTGTCATAGCCCTAAGTCGGGTTGTACATCACAAATGACTGTGTCTTTCTGACACCCTAGTAACTACCAGCGTGTACAAGGCAAAGGGCGCCTCATCTTCATTTCCCCAAGGTGTTGGCTACATATGTTTTTATTTTATTTTATTCAAAAAGGCTTGCCTTTCAGCCTGGTGATGGTGGTGCAGACTTTTAATCAGGTGGAGAGAGACTGAAGAAGCCACTCAGCATCAAGCCCTGGTCTCCATGTGTGTGCAAGGTTACACACATAGGTGTGCCTACACACACAGGTGTCCCTATACATGCGGATGTGCATCTAAACATGGATATGCACCAAACACACAAATGGGGGGAGGGGAAGAGGGGGGAAGAGGAAGTATCTGGGTGGGGGTATGGCGGGTCCTTAAAATTCCCAAAACAGATCTGTCTTATGATCCATTTTTTTTACTTTTTTATTTATTTGTCTTACATACCAACCAAAGTTTCTCCTGTTTCCCCACACCTCTCCCAACTGCACAATTTTTGCAGATATCCAAAGAAATCCAATTCAGCATGCAGAAGCAACGACTGCACACCCATATCAATTGTGGCACTATTGGTAAAAGCCACATTGTAGTATTAGCCTGGATACTCAGTAATGAATGGCTGGCTAGAGAAAGTGGTGTGTGTATGTGTGGTAGTGTAATGGTCAGTCATAAAGAATAATGAAGGGTGGGAGAGATGGTCCAGTGGTTACGAGCATACTGCTCTTGCAAGGGCCCAGAGTTCAGTTCTCACACCCTCATCAGGCAGTTCATATCCACTCTAGCTCCAGGAGAGGGTCTCTCATTGAACCCATGTTGGCTGATTTGCCTGTTTAACTAGTCAGCTGGCCCTGGGGTAGGGATCCCACCCAAACTGCAGTCCTCATGTGCAAGCTGCAAGTATCTTATCCACTGACCTATCTAGTGTGTTTTCTTGATGGTAGCCATTCTGAATACGGTGAGATGGAATCTGTGTCATATTTGAAAATGTCCCTCCCCTTTCTGTTATATGGGGACAATGTGAGTATCCATGTGATTCTTCAAAGGTCTGGTAGAATTCAGCAGTGAATCTACCAGGTCTTAGACTTTTCTTTGATATAAGAATCTTCTTTACTGCTTAATTCTCTTTGCTTGTTAATGATCTGTTTAGTTTTTTCTTACATTTTCCATTTAATGGAAGATGTGTTCCCAAAATATTCTCTAGCGATCCTCTGGTTCAGTGGTGTCTGCTGTAACTATGCCTCTTTTCACTGCCTATTTTATTAACTCAGGTCTTCTATCATTTTCTTTTGGTTACTTTGGCTAAGGATTTGCCAGTTTTTTTTCAAAGAATCAACCCTTTGTGTCATAGTTCTTTGTATTATTCTTTTAGCTTGCATTTCATTAATTTCTACCCTGATTTTATTACTTCTTTTTATCTACTAATGTCAGGGTTAATTTGTTCTTCATTGTTTAAAGACTTTGAAATGATTATTAGGAAATCTGTTTGAGACTTCTCTGGCTTTTCAATATAGGCCATCATAGACCTAACCTTCCCTCTTGAGCTTCCTTGATTGTATTCCAAAATATCTGGTAATTTGTGTTTTCGTTTTCATTCAACTCTAGGTCTTAAAAAATTTCTGATCACTGGGTGATGGTGGCACACACCTTTAATCCCAGCACTTGATAGGCAGAGGCAGGTGGATCTCTGTGAGTTCAGCACAACCTCCAAAGCTACAGAGAAACCCTGTCTCGAAAAAACAAAAAAAATTTTGATCATGCCAAAATATACTGTTCAGTTTCCATTGATCTATATAGTTTTATTTACTCTCTAGGGGCTGATCTATGTTTTTAATTGTGTTTGATCTAGCAAGATGTGAGATATTTTTATTTTGTTTTTGTTAAGAAATGTTTTGTGGACTACTATTTTGGAGAAAGTCCTGTGGTTTTCTGAGAAGAATATGCATCCCATGGTTGTTAAATAGAATACATTGTAGAAGTCTGTTAAGTCCATTTGATCTGCAGGACACTTTGAATCTTAACTTTTTTGTTGATTTTTGAAGGTAAGATTTTATATCTACTGATGAGATCAGAGTATTGACATTATGCCCTATTATTGTATCTCTAGCTATATGTCCCTTGGTGTTCGAAGTTGAGTAGACTGATAGCTTCTTGAAGGGTTGTTACCTTTATCAATATGTAGTGATCATTTTTATCCCTTTTGACTAACTTTGGCTTGAAGCCTGCTTTGTCTGATATGACTAAAACTATACCTGATTGGTTTTATCAATTATCGAGTTGCCAAGATAAGTAGATTTAGAGTCACCTAGGAGATTAAGGAGGCACACCATTGGGCTTATCCAGGAAGACATTTCCAGAGAGGGTTATCTGAGGGGGGAAGACCACGCATAGTTGCTCCTCTCCCTCCATGAACTGGAAGGCCAGATGGAGTAAAAAAGAAGAGCAGGAGAATGCCAGCATAGTCCCTCCTTTCTACTTCCTGTCTGTCATGATGTGAACTCTGCCATATCCTCCTGGCCATGATGGGTTGAATTTTCTGAGATTGTGGAGTGAAATAAATCCTTCCTCCGCTGTTATTTCTTCACATATTATGGTCAGAGCCATGGAAAAATAACTAACATAAGACTGATCTTTTTCTTGTATTCTCATTTATTTATCTATTTTCCTAGTGAGAGTCATTCTTTCCCAAGCTCTTCTGATATATGTCTTCATTTTCTGTGTGTATTCTTTTATAGATTTCATAATTTGGTCTGGTGATTGATTGATTTGGTTTACGTGTATTATAGAAAGTCTTTAATTCTACCATTTAAAAGGATATTTTTCCAGGATATTGAGGGCTAATCTCAGTTGGTAATTAAATACTTTTAGGCCTAAACACACCAGTCCATCACTCCAGCTTCTAGGGTTTCTGCTAAGAAATATGCTGTGGTTCTCTAGGCTAGCCCTTGTTAGTAACAGGTTTTTTTCTCTTCAAGTTTCCATATTCCATATTCCTGACACTAACTATAATATTTATTTGGGTCCTAAGTGACTACTGTACTTAGATGTTCATATCTTTCTCCAGATTGGGGGATAATTCTGCTACAATTTCATTGGATAGTGTTTCTAGGCCTGTAATCTGTTACACCCTCAGCCCCAAGACTGAGATTATTTTTTTCCTTTTTAAATTTAAATTAGAAACAAGTTTGCTTCACATGTCAATCCCAGCTCCCTCTCCCTCCCCTCCTCCCCG